TGAAAATCTCACCAAAAATAAAATCTTAAAGCCTTCGAAATCTGATAATGGATGGAAAAATGGCTGGGCAATGCTGGCTGTTAAAACCTCAAAGGGTGCCCGTCCTTTGGAATACTTAGAAAACTTAATCTTAAACATTGAAAAGCCTTAAATCCAAAAGTCTCAATCTGAGACCCTAAAGAATCTCAAAGTGTTAGAATTTTTTAAAACTTATTTTAAATCTTAAAACCATCTACTCAGACGACTTACGAAAGGGAAAGTACAGAACAGAAGGCAGGGCAAGGTGCCCGTTGGCCGGCTTGTCGCGTCACAGTGTAAATCCGGCCACCGACATCCCTGACCCCGTGGTCCGAGCCCGGAGGGGGCGCCCCATCCCGCCGACCATGCGCCGGCAGAACATGCGCAGTCAAGAACATGCGCATAATACATAACGTTTTTATGCTAGGGCCCTCTTTTTATTATTTATTTAACTATTTACTTATAAGGGGCGAAGGATTTGCGGATTGGTTTAAGCGATTTCCGAGGATTTTTGTATCATCTCCCCGCAGCGTCCAAAAACGAGTCCACAAACGAGTATTTTTAGGGGGTGCCTAATACCGGACTACACCCCCAGCAATGCCAGCATCATTCCATTGGTTTAGGCGATTTCCAAGGAATTTTGTAGCATCTCCCCGCAGCGTCCAAAAACGAGTATTTTAGGGGGTGCCTAATACCGGACTACACCCCCAGCATTGCCAGCATCATTCCGGATGATGCGGATGATGTTATGCATGCTGGCGATGCCAAACAAGGGGCGGAAAATTGGAAGCAGGCGTGACTGGAAGTCCACGAAATGGACATCAAAGGAATTGCACGAATTTCAGGGGGGCACTGGAGAGAAGCCAAAATGCAGGCAAATGCAAGGTCAGACGAGGGGAACCGAAGAAGGAAACGAAAACAAATTGTGGAAATTATGGAAAACGAAGGGAAACTGCGAAATGAAGGGATGTGCAGGAAACTGACGTGGAATGGGAGGCGGACTGAAGTCACGGAAACTGACAAGAACAGAGGGGAGGACTGCGACTGACACGGCGAGGTTCAAATCTCGGGAACTGATCGGAATTAACGGAAAGGGAAGTGACAGAACGGCCAGGTCAAGGTGCCCGGTGTCCCTCTGCTTACCTTCAGGTATAAGGCCGCGCGCCCCATGCCGCCGACCATGCGCAGAACATGCGCCGACCATGCTCGGACCATGCGCATACGTTTTTTGCGCTGGGCCCACCCTTATAAGGGGCGAAGGATTTGCGGATTGGCTTAGGCGATTTCCGAGGATTTTTGTAGCATCTCCCCGCAGCGCCCAAAAACGAGTCCAAAAACGAGCTTTTTTAGGGGGTGCCTAATACTGGACAACACCCCCAGCATTGCAAGCATCATCCCGGATGATGCGGATGATGTTATGTATGCTGGCGATGCGGGGGATGTTGTCCTCTAAGTCGGGCCAATTTTGCCGAAAACGTGCAACCTGAAAATCTTAAAATCTAAAGTGGATGGAAAATGGATGGAAAATGGCCTGGATTGAAATCTCAAAATCCTAAAGTCTTAGATTCTTAAAATCTTAAATGAAAATCTGACAATCAATCTTAGAATCTCAAGATCTTAAAATCTTAGAACTTAGAATCTTAAAATCTGAAAATATAAAAACTTCCTAAAGTCTTCGAATCTTGAAACCTTAAAAACCTTATGTCTTAGAATCTTGAGATCTTAAACTCTTAAAATATGAAATTCCTAAAGTCTTACAATCTTAAAATCTCAGAATCTTGAAAAGCTTTAAAAACTTAAATTCTTTAAGCCTCGAACAATTGAAATCTGAAAACCTTAAATTATTAACATATTACCTTCCTTCAATCCTGGCTATATTTTAACTTCCTTAAACTCTTAATCTTGAATTTTTGAAATCTTGAAACCTTAAGATCTTAAAATTACAACCTTAGAAGATAGAATCTTGCAACCTGAAAATATAAACATCCTCAAGTCTTCGAATCTTGACTTCTTAAATCCCTCATGTCGTTGAATCTTCAGATGTTAAAATCTTAAAATATGAAATTCCGAAATTCTCAAAATCTTAAAATCTCAGAATCTTAAAAGCTTCAAAAACTTAAGTTCTTTAAATCTCGAACTATTGCAATCTGAAAATCTTAAATTCATAAACAAGTAAAATATAATAAAATTCCTTCAATCCGGGCTATATTCTAAATTCCTTAAACTCTTAATCTTCAAAGTTTGAAGTCTTGACATCTTAAGATCTTAAAATCTTAAATTCCGAAAGTCGCCAAATCTGAAAATCTCACAAAAACTAAAATCTTAAAGCCTTCGAAATCTGATAATGGATGGAAAATGGCTGGGCAATGGCCTGGCTGTTATAACCTTCAAAACCTTAAATCTTCGAATCTTAGAACCTTACTTCTTAAACCATTGAAACCTTAAATTCCAAAAGTCTTCAAATCTGAGACCCTTAGACTCTCAAAGTTTTTAGAATTTTGAAATCTTAACATCTACTCATCGGACTTACAGGAAAGGGAAGTGACAGAAACCCTCATGTCTTTGAATCTTCAGATGTTAAAATCTGAAAATATGAAACTCCTAAATTCTCAAAATCTTAAAATCTCAGAATCTTAAAAGCTTCAAAACTTAAATTCTTTAAATCTCGAACTATTGCAGTCTGAAAATCATAAATTCATAAACAAGTAAAATATAATAAAATTCCTTCAATACGGGCTATATTATTCTAAATTCCTTCAACTCTTAATCTTCAAATTTTGAAGTCTTGACATCTTAAGATCTTAAAATCTTAAATTCCGAAAGTCGCCAAATCTGAAAATCTCACCAAAAATAAAATCTTAAAGCCTTCGAAATCTGATAATGGATGGAAAATGGCTGGGCAATGGCCTGGCTGTTATAACCTTCAAACACCTTAAGTCTTTGAATCTTAAAACCTTAATTCTTAAACCATTGAAGCCTTAAATTCCAAAAGTCTTCAAATCTGAGACCCTTAGAATCTCAAAGTGTTTAGAATTTTTAAATCTTATTTTTAAATCTTAACATCTACTCATCGGACTTACCGGAAAGGGAAGTGACAGAACAGAACGGGCGGGGCAAGGTGCCCGGTGGCCGGCTGTGTCGCGTCAGCGTGTAAATCCGGCCACCGGACGTGATCGGGCCGCAGGCCAAAGCCCGGTAGGGCGCCCCATGCCGCCGACCATACGCAGAACATGCGCAGAACATGCGCAGAACATGCGCATACGTTTTATGCTGGGCCCTCCCTTATAAGGGGCGAAGGATTTGCGGATTGGTTTAAGCGATTTCCGAGGATTTTTGTATCATCTCCCCGCAGCGTCCAAAAACGAGTTCCTCTTCGTGGTTTTTTAAGGAGGGTGCCATATATTATCGAAGGTTTGTTTTCCCACTGGATCATCCATTGGTTTATTAGGCGATTTCCAAGGAATTTTGTAGCATCTTCCCCCGCAGCGTCCAAAAACAAGTCCAATTTAGGGGGTGCCTAATTACCAGGACTGCACCCCCAAGCATTTGCCACATCATCCGGATGTGCGGATGATTTATCATCTGGCATGCCAAACTAGGGGCCGAAAATTGAAAAGCAAGGCGTGACGGGAAGTCCACGAAAAAATGGACATCAAAGGAATTGCACGAATTTGAGGGGGGCACTGGAGAGAAGCCAAAATGCAGGCAAATGCAAGGTCAGACGAGGGGAACCGAAGAAGGAAACGAAAACAACTTGTGGAAATTATGGAAAACGAAGAGAAACTGCGAAATGAAGGGATGTGCAGGAAACTGACGTGGAATGGGAGGCGGACTGAAGTCACGGAAACTGAAAAGAACAGAGGGGAGGACTGCGACTGACACGGCGAAACTGTCGAAAATGCAGGAAACACGCGCAAAGGAAGTGAGGTTCAAATCTCGGGAACTGATCGGAATTAACGGAAAGGGAAGTGACAGAACGGCCAGGTCAAGGTGCCCGGTGGCCGGCTGTGTCGCGTCAGCGTGTAAATAAGTGCTCTCATAAATCCGGCCACCGGACGTGATCGGGCCGCAGGCCAAAGCCCGGTAGGGCTTACCTTCAGGTATTACCTTCAGGTATAAGGCCACGCGCCCCATGCCGCCGACCATGCGCAGAACATGCGCAGAACATGCGCATACGTTTTATGCTGGGCCCTCCCTTATAAGGGGCGAAGGATTTGCGGATTGGTTTAGGCGATTTGCGAGGATTTTTGTATCATCTCCGGGGGTGCCTAATACCGGACTACACCCCCAGCACTGCCAGCATCATTCCGGATGATGCGGATGATGCTATGCATGCTGGCGATGCCAAACAAGGGGCGGAAAATTGGAAGCAGGCGTGACTGGAAGTCCACGAAATGGACATCAAAGGAATTGCACGAATTTGAGGGGGGCACTGGAGAGAGAGCCAAAATGCAGGCAAATGCAAGGTCAGACGAGGGGAACCGAAGAAGGAAACGAAAACAAATTGTGGAAATTATGGAAAACGAAGAGAAACTGCGAAATGAAGGGATGTGCAGGAAACTGACGTCGAATGGGAGGCGGACTGAAGTCACGGAAACTGACAAGAACAGAGGGGAGGACTGCGACTCACACGGCGAGGTTCAAATCTCGGGAACTGATCGGAATTAACGGAAAGGGAAGTGACAGAACGGCCAGGTCAAGGTGCCAGGTGGCCGGCTGTGTCGCGTCAGCGTGTAAATATTCCTCTGCACGTCCTCTCGCTGCGCTATAAGGCCAACGACTCTGCCCGAAGAACCCGTCACAAAAGGTTGACTTTCTGTTGGTCAAAAGGGCCACATAAAGGCAAAGGCGGCAAAGGTGAGTTGAGTCTGCACCAAAAAGGAAGATTGCCCGAACGGGGCTCACAAGGTGATGTTTCCATGGAGATATAGTGGCCCTTGGGCAACGACCCGTTTTTGTTTGCAACGGGGATCGACAGCCCGGCCTCACGGCTTTGCGTCCTACGCCACGTGGACTCTCTTATAGGCGCAGCATCGGCACGGGCCATTGCCCTCGTCCGCCTTCAACGGGAAAAAGCAGGCCCTTACAAAAACCCCTAAAAATCCCCAACACATCCCAAGACCCTTTACAAAACCCGAAAGCAAACCGCAAACCCTTAAACACCCCGATTTCTTCTCCCAGATTGGCCAACATACCTTTCAGCAAAGCATCCCGAGAGAGAACATATCCTTCATCATGCGTGACGTCGCAAATCCCCTAGTGACCCCGTTTTCATTTGCATGATCTCACAGCCCCAGCTTCTGGCTGGAGAAAGGGCAATTTGAGAACACGACTAAAGTCCGAAAGGGATTTGCAGAGCGAAGAACCCCGATAATTCCAATGGAAAATCCTGGCCAAAGCTTGCAGGAGAACATGTTGCAGGAAAAGGCACTTGCCTTCACCCCAGGCACATTTTTCACGGAGAAAGCTCGATGGAAATAAGGGTATGTGTTTTTGCAGGCACCATGCGCGGTTCAAAGGTCTACACCTGGTCTACGTCTGCTTGTGGAGCACATATTGCAACCAATGGCCCTTTTGAGCATGGCATAAATGGCAGCGTGATCAACCTCTTACTGTGTGACTCTGAAGCAGCATGGCGGCCTACATGCGGGGAATGCTATCACGAAGTAGGCCTATGTCTGAAAGGGATACAGGAGTCCACGAAAGTACGTAGCTTCTGGTCTCAAAAAGATCCATTAACATTTGCACGATTTCCTGGGTGGTTTGGGCAACCTTTTTGTCCTATTTCAACTTGCTCATGATTTTTGACAGCCAACTCGGCAAAATTGCGCAACTGGGTCAACATGGGAGGTCCTCCGATAGGTCAGTCGTGACTTGTCCTTTCAGAATGGCCAATGCTAGTCCATCTATTGCACAACCTCTGCAAAGGGGACCCTATAAAGTCCTCCCGTAACCCAAAAGATCTTGCGGATTGCCTTTGAGCAGCCCAGGAGCCCGAAAACACAAACTGAACGAGAAGCTCCTCTGGCAGGCCTTCAGCTCTTGCATGTCCTTTATGAGGTACTCTGTGGAAACAAGCCTTAGGAAACTTTCAGGTCGCCAGCCTGTCTGCCTTTTCCGTAGCTGTGCCAAAGGCCGAACATCTGTAAAAGGCGTCAAGCATGTCCCAGTGCTTCCAAAAACTTCTGACTAGATTCGCCAACCCCTTCTTGCCAAAAGGAGGGCCACACAGGAAGAGTAGCAACAAATAATTGCTGCACTGACAACTAATTCATAAACCCTTATCATCGCACATCTTGTGTAAACTGATCATTAGTTTGTCGGTGGGAGCAAGCCTGGCGCACATGCCCGGTGCATAAGAGGCCCTGCTGGTGATTCTTTTGTATAGGATTCAAGTGTTACATTAGGCCTCGCCAGCGATGCTGGGGATGCGAAAAGGTACTGATGGTGACTGTTTTTTTTTATTGATGACACTAGAGGTTCTAGACAAAGTGGTCGACACCCCCAGCATGACCAGTACATACGGTGTAAGATGAAGTGGTCGACACCCAACAAACATCACCAGTCCATACTTTGCAGATAAAGTGGTCGACACCCCCATCATCGCTAGTGGTTTTGTGCAAACATATCGATTGAATTCTCGAACAAAATGAAACACATGAGTCGTGTTCATGCCTTTTGGCAGTCTGGTTCCATCTTGATATTCTTCGTTGGCAACATCCGTTCCCCGGACACGACAATTTTACATACATATTCGTACGTATGTGTATCTATAGGGAGAACAATTAATATGTATGTTACGCCATCTATATTTTCTGATTGGGGTCCACGGCACAGGGCGGCAGTCCTTAGATTTGTGTAGGGGTATGCCACGATTCCAATTCCAAACGGAAAAAAAAAGTCGAGTGCGTCACCTATTCTTCGTGGAATGGTCTGAGAGGTGTGGAAAAGGTCTGGCGTTGGCCATTACTTTTGACAACCCAACAGGTTGCCCCGTTCCCTTGGTGTGGCACGGTATGGCCAGAGGTTTTCTCAGTTCTCAGGACATCCTTTGAAACTGGGAACATCGCGCATTCATTTGGATGAAGACTCAACTCCAGCCATTCTCAACAGTTGCCCGTAATCGATCCCTTCAAGTGCTATGTCCTTGCGCTCCTGTCCCCTACGGCTAGGGCCACCCCAAAGTCCGATGGGTTGCGCTCAAAATGGACCCGCACGAGCCACAAGTGGCATGAAGGCACCCATCATAGGAAGCCTTCCCGGCGGCGCCCGCCCTGCTTGAAACGCACGTCAGAACGAATGCCGGAGAATGAAGTTGTTGCCATTTCCAAGTTTGGTTTGACACACAGCACGTCAGGCATGGCCCCACCAAAGATTGAGTCAAGGAAGGAAAGACCAGCTCCATTGCTTTGATCACCCTCTTCAGGCTAACTGGGACAGCGGGTGTGAGCAAGCTTGATTTAGTTTCACACATTTAGCACCCCGGTCCCAATGTAAGGAAAACCAAAAGAAGGGTGATTGAACACTCCACTGATACCAGTCTTTTGCCTCAGGGCATAGGATAGCACTCGACCACAGTGCTTTCCCAGGAGCTCGCCCTCTTCAGCTGAGGGGCTCTTTAAAGATTCGCTGGATTTCTCTGGAAAGGCGACCAGCGGCAAGCCTCGGATAAATGGAGATGGTGCAAACTGCAAACATCTGTGCAATGACGTCGGTGCCCGATTAGTCAAAGCCAACAAAACGCGCGTTCAAGTTTGTGTTTCTGTTTTACACTTGTATCGGGAGTCACGGTTGTGACGCACCTGTTTTTTGATACAGAAATGCCGTTGTGAAAAGCTGTAAAGCATAGACTAGCCTCCACCAAGCTAAGTATTGGTTTACTATTTGTTAGTATTGTTTTGTGCTGCAGCCTAGATGAAGGTACCCCTGTTCATTCTGGAGATAGGCGGTAGTTCGGGCAAAACTGTTTCTCAACAACCGAGACAATGTCTGGGCAGCAAGCCAAAACAAGCTCCCAAGGTCAAGGACAAGCGGTTAGGCATTGCTTCGCACTAAGGCCAGAAAGAAAGAGCAAGTAAGCGTCGTCATGGAAAACAAAAAGCTTACGCGCCAACAGGGACACAACCAGGGAGACAAGTGTGGAGACAAGTGGGGAGACAAGTGGGGAGACAATAGGGAGACAAGGCATGACAAGGTCCGAGTGAGCAAGAGCAAACACGGAGAAGAATGGGGAGACAGGTGGAGACACAAGGAATTAGGGAGAGCCAGCAAGGGTCCTTGTAAGCAAGCACAAACAGGGAGACAAACTGGGAGACGAGAGGCAAGACAAGCGGTGACAAGGTTCGAGTCGGCAGCTAAAGGCAGGGAAGACACACCGTAACAAGGTCAGAGTCATCAAACACAAGCAGAAAGAGCAGGCCAAGTGGGGAGAAAAGTGAGGAGACAAGTGGACGTGGGGAGACAGCACGGGTAAACCATCTCGTGGCTGGGAGCAACCCTTTGCATGAATAGACAACCCCAACAGCTGAGTGAAGGCTCCATTGTTGCAAATACATCTGTGCACAGTCTACCCAGGCACGAGGATGTTTTGGGCTTCAACTGGGTGTGTTGTTTTTTGGTGAGGGGCACGTTTTCGGGGTGGTTTTAAATCGAAGAAAAGGGACAGCCATCATTCTGTGCACTATACCCCCCAACTATTGAGCTGTTTTCCTGTTGGTTTCTCTTCAACGCCATATACAAAAGAGTCGCCATTTTCGGACTCCCCTCTGTGAGCGTCGGTCCCATCTCGAGCTCTAGCTCGAGGATCTTTTATCCTTGCAACCCCCCCCCCCATTTCAGCGGTACACCAACCGTTTCTGTTTGGTGGGTTCCAAGCTTCTCGTTTGTTGATTATGTCTGGTTGGAACAAACATGGTACTCTTTTACGGCTGTGGAATTTCTGGATGCATGATGCCCAAGCAGTAAGTGCGGTACCAAATTGTATTGGAACAACTGGCCCAACTGCACTATCCTCGACTATCCTGAAAGTTACTCCCTAGACCTCCCCAGGGCAGGAGAGGCTAAGGACTCTGTTGATGCTCTTTAAAACACTCTTCTGCCAGGCCAGAACTCAGCCCCGAGGCGGGTGAAAAAATGTCGCCCTTTTTTGCCGGTTGCTTTCAAAGGAAACATTTGCCCCAAGGAACGAAGGGTGCCACTGGGTGCGCCAAGATGCTCATCATCATTCGCATGGACTTCCCACCTTGACCACAACTCATGTTGCTGCTTCCAGTGGTTGCCCTGGCGCTCTGAGCTTAGAAAGGAAAGCGCAACAACGGGACAGAGGTGCCTGCCATCTACATGCGGCCATGCGAGTGGGCCTCGTCTTTTCATCCCAGTTTCGGAAAAACCTCCACCAAGGCTTGTGGGTCAATCTAGCAAGACGCAGACATTATCAAATTGGCCAGTCAAACTTCATGGCAAGTCCGGGCCAACCACTGGAACATCTGCAGCGCCCAAAACTCATTGACGGTGGAATCGATCCACAAGGTCAAAAAGCTTGTAACATATGTATAAATATATATATATATATGTGTGTTCCCAGTCTCATTGGGCTGTCCCGAGTCACTCTAAACTAACCATCCCTCAAACAACCCACAACAAACCGCTCACCAACCCTGTGCCAACCCAGAACCAACCATGGGTGACCTAGGACCCGGAACATATACATATATATATATACACGTATATAAACAAACACATGCGTGCACCGTATATTATATGGATTCTTCTCGAAACTAGGCACGCTGAAGTGGTTGGTCTCCGTTTGGTTTCCCTTTAAAGCCATCCAAAAGGGGTCCGCCTTTTCGAGAAACCCACATACGAACCCTGTAAAACCGAGTAGTATAGTTCCCTCAAGATGGCCCAAGGGCGCTGCTCGCAGGTTGGCTTGAAACCGGCCTTGAAGTCGCTCAGCACTTTGCTAAGCTGCGCCACTGTCATCCTGCGGAGGCAGGACTTCATCCGTTTGTTGGTTGACTGCGGGAAACTCGCTAAACGAACTGGAAACAAGGCGCTACTGGACAATTGGGAATGACTGAGCGCAAGTCTAGTGGATCGAAGGACATCGGACTCAAACCTCGGAAAGACAAATCCAGGAATGTGGAAACCAAGTTGGCAACGGTAAGGAGTCCTTGGTAACAACCAAACAAGTTCCGACAACAAGTGCTTTCAACATACTATATGGCGAACATTGAGTATTGCTCCCAATCCTTTGGACGTCCTTGATGTCAGCCGGCCCCAAAGACATTTGGCTGTGGCGCAACATTAAGGAGCTAGGGTTACGCAGGATTTACTCTTTGGTTCCATTTACCAAGGGGGCCATTTTGGTACATTTATTTGAGCCACAGCCATTTCAGAGACACTTGCATGATCACCTTTGTCTGAGGAGGCTTTGTAGAAACATCAGATTCACCTGCCTACTTTGGATCTGAGAGAGGATCAGGAATTGAAGCGACAGTCCCTCCAAGCGCATCCCCCTCAAAATTTAGGGGGTAGGGTTGGAACACCCCTTCCATAGTATATAAAACTGCGAGTTTGCGACAACCGTCTACAACCCGTGACGGCGGTTGCGGAACAACTTATCTGCAAAATGGGTCGCTGAGTTTCAGGTGTTTTTTCTTTCCCGTTTTTACCAGGTGGTCACTAGCAACCCCTGAAATCCAGGTGTCATTTTGTCGAGTTGGCTCTCGGGCTCTCACTTTGTAGTCCAACGATGGCCTTGTGATGCCTAAGGGGTGTTGCCATGTGGCGCCACCAGAGCCAAACAGCTTCAACCAAGCCCAAGCGCTACAAAATGCCGAAGTTATCAAACCTGATTTCTACGAGCACAACCCCTCAACATGGACCGTTAAGAAAACAAGACACATTTGGGTTATCCAATATTGCTTTCCCTCAAAACCCTCCAATCGCCGGCCCTTGGGGTTGACCACAGCGGGGACACTCGCGGAGCAAACTCTGCAAAATATTGTGTTTTCGAATAAGGAGTCACCCAAACATTTTGATGGTGCCCCAATCGCGCCACAATCGCCAGCCTTTCGCGATGCAGGTATTAGCACAACTAACAAGTTACCCGAATACATAAATCGAAGACATGCATTTGCAAATGGCCCCCACATAGAACCTCTACATGCACCGATTTTGCAGCACCTCATTATGTAGACCAACTTCATCTCTCGACAAAATGGGTTCACTACAAAATGTGTGCACCAAAAACCGTTTATAGGGAGGTCAACCCCTCCCTTGCAAACCACAAACAGGGGCTGGGCAAGATATGGCTTTGCTTTTTTAAGGTACCCTTTCTAGTTTGGTAAGCCGGAAACCCCAAGGCACACCACTTTAAGGGAACCTCAAAGGAAACGAGCCCAGCATTTTCTGGGATGAGTACTTGCGCTCTCTCTCGTCGCTGAGCCCGTCTTTGCCATGGCCGGCAGCGCCACTCCCTGGGAGGCTTTGGCGGCCTCCGCTGCCTCGAGAAGTCATGGGATCATGTCACGTTTGACCTGTCCAAATTCACCTGAGCGAACTCCACAAGGGATGGTAGAACTTTAGAACTGTCTGGGCAAATTAGGATCCATTGCGCCTTCGAAGGTTGGAACACAAAATGGGCCTTGCTAGTCTTGTCAGTTTGTCTGCACAGGATAGGAGAGCCCAACAGGGAACGCACGGTGTCTAGGGTACTTTCAGATTTGTTGAAAGGGAAACCAAAAGGAAAACCACCATGTTTTTTGGGAGGGGTCACCCAAATTGCCACGTTGACAGACATGCCCAAAAGGATCCAACATGAAACGCAAATGAAGGAACACCAACCAGGGGGTAGGGCTCAGACTCGCAAAGGACACAGGTTGGCCAGACTCATTCCTGCAGCCTGCTGTGTTCCACTTGAACTTCATCTCTGTGGCTTGTTAGGAGCCACCATTTTGGTGTCTTGCGAAAGGGCTGCGAACGTCTTGAACACCCCCAAACCGGAACGCATTGGCTTTGGGGAGCGGGTTGGCCATGACCAAATTGGGTCAAAGCCAGGCGGCGTTGGCGAAGTGGGCTCCAGCGATGGGCGTCATGATGGAGACGAGGCTGTACCTTGCAAAGGGCGAAAGCAGACGGCACTGTTCTCTCTCCTGCCCGTGAAGCGGATGACAAAATCCAAGTAGAGAGATTGTGCCAAATGCTTTTGGTGCCAAAGGCAAGAGGCCCGTTTTGCCCTGCTGTATTCACGGATACCATGCTGGGGCGACTTTGGTCACACAGCTTCATGAACCAAAACATCAATCTGTCCGGGAGCTTGGACATCCTGGTCCAACCAATTTGTTGGTTTGAGTCGGGTGCGACGGAGGCACATGCTCGCCAAGCTCAGCATGGCGTTGCTGCCCTCGTGCAAACAACACAAGCACCTGCCGAAGCCGCAGCTCCCGACCGTGCAAGTCGAGTCTCAAGACAGGTTTGCAGCGGATATCCACAAAAAGGGCAGTCCCTTGAGGGATTTGCTCAGGGCTGCAAAGAAAACTCCAAAAACAACTTGAAACAAAAAGGCCCACTCGTCCGGTCGCTCCGAATGTGAGGCCTGGTAAAGAGCCCTGGTCCTGCTTTGCTCGATCGGTGGCCATATTGGATATGGGTGAATCTCACAACAGGAGACCCAAACTGGCCATTTTGTGAAACCACCATACAACTCTAAAGCTCTAAAGGGGGCTGCAAGTATGCTCCTCCTGAATGCATCTTTTGGTAGGTTGGGATCTGCCTCACAACAGATCAAACATCACTGGGGGATTCTAAGGGGCGCCGCAAGCGATTAAGGGCTGGAGTGAATCAGGCCAAGGCCGTGCGATCTCGGAGGAGCCCGGCCCAGAAACTAATGCTCCTTATGCTCTTTGCCAGACCCGCTTCCCGCATGCATGAGAATGAGTATGGCATGGCCGCTTGAGAACCTTCTGTTTTTGGTCTGTGTGATTTCTCGGAAACATGCATGGAGGCGGGGTACCAAGAAGTTGGCGATGTATGAGAGAACAATAAAGAACCAGCAAGCGCAGGGTGGTACCAGGTACTCAGGAGTGAGTGTGGCCCAAGACAACTGTTTGTTTTCAGGTTTTAATCGCTTCATTCCCCCTTCCCCCCACTCTTTGGGTCTAACTTCGAAACATTTACTCAGAGTTGCACTGGGCACCGAGAAGAAATGGAGTTGTCAATGGGCCAGTCACATCCTGTCTTGCATTTTCCAACTCGCAAGCGCTGCATGATTGCAAAGAATGGGGTGGGTTGCGGGGGTTAGGGACGCTGCACCATATGTGTATATGCATATTTATGCATATATATATATATATGTATATATAAATATTATGTATGTATATACATATGTATATATATATATATATGACGAGGCTACAACCTCCAAAATACAGGCCAACTAGCCAGCTGAAAAAAGCTTTCTTTGGGCGTGCTTCTTGCCCTGACTTGTCCAGCCGTCGTTGTTTAACCGCGGCCTCTCTCATATCTCGAAACGTCATGTGCCAGTGATGCTATACTGTAGGTTCTAGTTGACCGCAGCTCGGCTCCGCCTAGAAAGAAATCTGACAACCGGCGGGTTCTTGACGAAAAGGACGTTGATCTCGCAGAATGCCTTCAATGCACCTTGGTTGCGTGGTGGAATGAAGTGGGCAGCATATTGACGTTTTCCCAAACACCGGATCACTACTGTTAGAATACGCTTATTCTGAACCAATACCAAACCAGACGATTTCGCTCGAATCCCGACACCAGTCTTTTGACCGAAGAGGAAGTGCGTTCGACCCCGATTTGCCGTAATACTAAGTATTTTCGTTTCGGCCCCAAAGTATGTATATATATATACTATTAAGGGGGGGGGGGCCAAAATATTTATTGGGAGGAAGCGAGTAACCTACCTGACCATATTTATGTGTGGTGACTGCTCGGCTTCATTTCGGAAGGAAGCCTGAATTCCAATGGAGAAAATCACCTAACGCGCAGGGCCACACACTCGTGAAAACACATCCTTCATCCCAGAAAAAACCAGACTCGAGGCGCTGAAGTCTGCCTCCTGCTCAATCGCCGCCAGGGCAATGCCGGAACCTGCCACAGAGCTTACTTCGCGCCTGCAACTCATTGGTGTCAAGGCTCTCTCCTATTTAGACACAAAAAGCACATGTTACCTCTGCCCGCACTGAAGCTCAAAAGGTCAGCATGAAAGTGACTTTTGATTTTGCTAGGCCGCGCTTCAAGTTGGGGCGGTTGAACAATAACGCAGTACCTCGAAACACAGCAGCTAAAAATACATGCTTATGTTTGCGTCTGTGTGTCAGCGCCCGGGCCTGCGTCTCTGTATGCGTGACTGCTGATGCCCGTGTGTGTGCGAGCGTCCAACTGCACATGTTCGTTTGTGCATGGGTTTGCCTGTCCGTCTGTTTGTTCATGTTTATTTATTTCGCGCGTTTGTTTGTTTGTTCGCTCGCTTGGTTATTGTTTGCTGCTTGATTTGTTTCTAGCGCGAGAGTCAAACCACAGGGACCAGGCCCGAAAACCTCGCCAAAGCACCAGGCGCCAGAAGCACCGAGCGTGCCAACCAGACGCAAAAACACCCGCCAACCACATGCAGCACCAGGCGGGCGCCAAATAGCCCGGAAGATAAAAAATAAATATCACAACAGACCCCCAAAACACCAATTCCACCCAAACAGGCACTCCTGATCACAGGTGCTGAAAACACTTTCCGGTGTTCCTGTGCTTGTTTGTTTACTTACTTTGTACTTCTGTGTTTACTGATCTGTTTTTGCAGGTGTGTCGGCTCATGCATTCGCTCACCCTTGCAATCGTTCGTTGGCTCGCTCTCTCGCTTGCTGTTTGCTTCCGCTTGTTTGTTTGCTCGCTTGCTGGTTTGTGTGTTTGCCGGCTTATTTAGTTGCTTGTTTGTCGGGCTATGTGATTATTTGTTTGGTTGGCAGTATGTGTGCGTTGGTGTGTGTTTGTTCATTTGTGTGTGTTGCATGTGCACTTACGCATTTCGATTTTGTTGGCTGGCTTGCGTGTTCTTTCATTTGTTCATGTATTTGTCCGGTCAACCCTTTGTGTGTGCGCTCGTTCGTTTGCTCAGCTCTTTGTGTGTTTGATTGATTGTTTGTTTGTTTGTTTGTTTGTTTCTTTGTTTGCTTGCTTGCGTGTTGGCTGTTTGCTTGCTTGTTTGTTGGTGCGCGTGTCGCTTCCTTTCTTGCTTGCTTGCAAGCTTGCTTGTTTGCTTGCTTGCTGCTTCGCCTGTTTGTTAGTGCGTCTGGTTGTTTGTTCGTTTGTATTCTTGATTATCAGATTGTGTATGACTGTGTGCTGCGATGGCTTGCTGGTTTGCATTCTTGGTTGCGCGCTTGCTTGCTTGCTTTCTTGTGTCTGTTTGTCTGTCAATCTTGCAGCCTGTCTGCTGTTTCTTTGCTTGGGTACGTGCCGTTGATTGTTTTTGGATTGCTGTTGTTTGTTCGTTGCTTGTTTGCTTGATTGTTCTCTTGATCGTTCCCTTGCTTCGTTGGTTCTATTGCTTACTGCTTCTTTGTTTATGTGCTTGATTGTTTTGTTTGCTTGATTGGTTCTGTGTTTTATTGCTTCTTGGTTCATGACTTTCACTCTTTGTATATTTGCTGGCTTGCTGGTTTATTTGCTTCCTTGCCTATTGTTTTGCACTTTGCGCGCGTGTTTGTGTGTGTGTCTGCCTGTACGATTGGACGCATGGTTGCTTCTTTGTTTGTGATGTGGTTTGCCTACACAAGCATATAGTTGTCTTGTTTGCTGTTGGCTTGCTGGTGCGTTTGTTCATGTGTTCCTTCGTTTGCTAGCCGTGTCTTTGTTTGTTTGTCTGTCTGTTGCCTGCGTGTGTGTGTACGTGTGTTTACTTGTTTGTGTGTTTAATCGTTGGTGTTGTTTGTTTGCTTGAGTGTTTGTTTGCTTGTTTGCTTGTTTGGTTGATTGTTTGTGTGCGTGTGCGCGTTTGATTCTTTGTTCGTTTGTTTGTTTGTTTGTTTGTTTGTGTGCTTGATTGGCCGTTTGTTGCGCGTGTGTTTGTGTGTTTGGGTGTCTGATTGTTTGTTTCTGTGTTTGTCGGATTGTTTGTTTGTGTGAGTGATTGATTGTTTGTTAAGCCCGTGTTTGTGTGGTTTTGTTTGTGTGCTTGCTGGGTTGGTTTTTTTGTTTGTTTGTGTGCGTGAATGGCTGCTTTTTGGGCGTGTTTGTGTTTGTTTGGGTGTCTGATGGTTTGTTTGTTTGTTTTTTGGATTGATTGCTTGACTGATTGATTGATTGATTGATTGATTGATTGGTTGACTGATTGATTGACTGAATGATTGAATGACTGATTGATTGACTGACTGTTGGTTTGTGTATTTTTGTGTTTGCTTGTTTGTTCGTTTGTTTGTTTGGTCTCTGCCAGTTTGTTTGTGTTGTTTATGTATGTGTGTGTTTGCCTGTGGTTGTTTGCTTGCTTCCTTGTCTCCTTATTTGTCTGGTTGAATGTCTGTCTGTTTGCTTGTTTGTTTGCTTGGGTGTCTGTTTGTGCGTGCTTGCTTGTTTCTTTGCTTGTTTGTTTGTTTGGTTGGTTGTCTCACTTGGCTAGTGACCAACCCAAACAAAGTGTACACTTTTTGTGCCACCACTAAAAGAAAGGGAGAGCCACCAAGGGGAAAAGTTTAAAGTGTGCCCACTGGCTGGGTGCGTTGTTTGGGTGCGTTGCTTGTTTGCTGTTGCCATGTTTGTTTCGATGTAGGGGTGTGATGCGCGAGTGTGTGCATGCGAACGCGTGTGTGTTGTCTGTCGTGTGACTGTGTGTCTGCGCGTCTGTTTGCCTGTGGGTCTGCGCTGCGCATAGTGGAGTGTGTGTGTGTGTGTGCACGTCTGTGCGTGCGTGCGTACGTGTGTGGAAAAATACGAAATAGAATGGATATAGATTTATACCTAGACCAGTAGAGCCGGCGAGCGGTGGGCGGCAGTTTCAAAAAAACAAGGCGTTCTTGCCTTTCTATTTCTGAATTGAATGTTCTTCTCTTCTTCTTTCCTTTCTTTTCATTGGTTTGTTCTTTGCGTCTTTCTTGTGTTTTTCTTTACTCGTTTCTTTCTTCCGTCCTTCCTTCCTTTATTTCCTTCCATCTTTCTTTCTTTCTCATCTTCCTTCCTTTCTTCTCCTCTCCTCTACTTTCCTTTCCTTTCCTTGCCTTTCCTTCCTTCTGTATCTATGTGTTTCTTTTCTTTGCATTTCATTGTTGTGTTATTTATTCTTTCTTTCCTTGTTTCTCTTCCGGTTTTCCTTCTTTCTTGTTCTTTCCATTTCTTTAACTACTTGCCTATCTATCTATCTATCTATCTGCCTGCCTACCTATCTCTCTATCTGTTTATCTACCTTTCTATCTACCTATCTTTCTCTATCTAACTGTCATCTACCTTTCTATCTCTGTATCTATCTATCTGCCTTTCTATCTAGCTGCCTCTGCACCCAACTGTGCGAATGTGCTGCGCCTGCCACGAAATCTGTACTGGACCTTGCGGAAGTGCTGCGCCTGCGACGAAATCTGCACCTCACCTGGCTAAAGTCCTGCGTCTGCCACGCATTCTGTGCCTTGTCTGCCATACTGCGCCTGACCTTGCGAAAGTGCTGCGCCTGCCAAGAAGTCTGTACCTGACCTTACGAAAGTGCTGCCCCTTCCACGAAACGTGTACCTGCCCTTACATGCCGTGAGCTCTGTACTTGACCTTAGGAAAGTGCTGCGCCAAGCACGAAATCTGCACCCGACTTTTCCTAACCTAACGGAAGCGCTGCGCCTGCCACGAAAGCTGCTGCGAAAGTGCTGCGCCTGCACGAAAGCTGCGCCTTACCTTGCGAAAGTGCTGCGCTTGCCACGAGATCTGGACCTGACCGAACCGAACGCGCTCCGAGATCGCCCCGACCAGGCGTCGCGACCAAGCTAACTTTCGAGCATCCCAAAGCACCAAATCTTTTCATGTTTCTATTCTCGCAGGCGCACTCTTTCCCGCGTCATCTGTCTCAGAGAGCTATAGCTTTCAAGTAGTTGCCGAAACACGAAAGTTCGTATGTATGTGTATATATATATATATACATATGTATGTGTACATATATGTATATATAGTGTACATATATATATATATATGTATATTTCTGTGTTTGTGTTCGTACTTGTGTATTTACTTCTGTATCTGCGTATCTGGATAATTGAATATGTGCGAATATGCGCATCTGCAAAGTGTTTTCGTTTACTGATCTGCGATCGGGTCTGTGCTGTGTATGTCGGCGTCTGCCCCTGTGTCTCCTTCTTTCTCTCTCTATCTGTCCCTTCGTCTGTGTTTTCCTCTCTGTTTCGTTGTTTCTCTGTCTCTGCCTGCTTGTCCGCACGTCTCTGTGCGCATGCCAGCAACAAATACAAAGCACCTGCCTGCGTAAACAATAGCTTGCGTGTTGGACGCCATCAGCGAGCGAAGAATGAGGCCAGCCATGAAGTTTGTACTTTTGCAGATCAGGTGGCCGTAGCCGACATAGACCTCAGCCCACTTGGATTCCGCATCGCCTTCAGTCTCTCAAGCGTCGTCTGTCCAAGTCTAGGGGCTGTTTCACGGGAATCTGCCGTACCTGGCTCAACATTCTCAAGACTTCCAAATGTTCCAATCGTTGCATTTGTTCAAGCGTGTCCAGTGTTTTGGATGTGCAGAACCTGCTCGCCTTTGCCTTAGAATGATTGGCAAATCTTGGGGAATACTGAAAGCGCAGCAAGCTTCTTGTTGGAGTGGTATCATGCCATCGAAGTCGCTCAAATACTCGTAAGTGGAGGGTCCTGCCAATCCACTCAAAGTAGCGAACAAACTCAACTTCTTGTTACTTGCATGAAAAGCAATGTGAGTCTGCCGCCGGCGGTGAGCATCTCTCCTTGAACAGCCATACTCTTCCGTTGCGATGTGCGTAATGAGTACCATTCCATTGCAGAGCCAGCTGGGAAGCTGGTCCGTCCAAAAGGGCCGGTGCCTTTGCAACGGATTTGCGGATGGTTCAGACTACCCGTGGCTTGTTGTCCGTTGCTTGACAGGCCCCGCTTGGGGGTCAAAGGGTTCTGTTTCCGCGGCCACGAGTTGGAATGGAAGAAAGGACCAGATCAAAACAAGTTGAGCTTCTGGAGCAAAAACAAAGTTGCTTGCAGCACTTGGGTTCAATCAATTGAGTCGCTTGGCAAAGCAACAAGTAAACCCATAGCGTGCGCTAAGTATATGTCAATCCTAACATCTAATTCGCCCTGTGGCAGTACATGCAAATGGATATACACAAAAATCAGTGTATATATATACATATGTATTCTTGAACATGACTAAAGAATGAATGAGTGGAAGAATGAATAAATAAATACACCCATATTCATGACTGCATGTGGTATATGTATATGTAATATGTATATATCCTGCGAGGGACTCGGAATCTACATTTAAATCGGTCAACTGCTGTGTTGCAGGACCTCCAGGTTTGAACCCAGTCTCAGCGCCCCGCGGTGTGCTTTGCTCCAGGGGCGTCGGCCAGGAACTTCTCGATCTGCAAGACCTGCAAGCCATGAACACACACACACACTGCATACACACACAAACATATACGCACACACACACTTACACATGGCCATGGGTCAACATCCCGTACCCCCAGTAAACATCCCAATCCCAAATGCGACCATTGGTTTTGACCCACAACCACATCGAAATAGACACATAAACAAACACACTACAGGTCCACACACATATGCAAAGATATACAGACCCATACGCACGTAAACAGGGCACTGATAAAAAAAAGCGTACTTCGTACCAGAAAACACATCCGATTGAGTGTGGCTGCACATGTGAGTGTTAGCAATGTTCGCTATATGTCACCGCGTGTGCTGTCATTGGGTGTTTGGTTGATTGATTGCATGTGTTTGTTTGACTATATGTCTTTTCTTTCAATATGTCTGGCTTTCTGTGTGTCTTTCCATATTTGCTTATTTCGTTTTGTGCTCTTTGTATGTACAATGTATGTACGTCATGTATGTATGTATGCATGTATGCACGTACGTATGTACGTACGTAGTGCAAGGTATGTGTGAAAGGTATGTATGAAAGGTATGTATGGAGTGTATGTATGTATGTATGCATGTCGCTTATGTGTTTTAATGCAATGCAATGTGATGTAATGCAATGTAATGCAGTGTAATGTGGTGTATGTACGTATGCTAGTATATATGTAATGTGTGCATGTGCGTATGTATGTATGTATGTATGTAATGCATGTGTGTAGATAAATATGTATGTAAATATGTAATACATGTGTGCGTATGTATATAGCTTAATGTAATGTATTGTAATGAAAGGTATGCAGTGTATGTAGTGTATGTATGTGTGTATGTATGTATGTATGTATGTGTGGGTATGTGTGTATGTATGTAAGTATGTATGTATGTGTGTATGTAATGTAACGTAATGTATTGTAACAAAGGTATGTATGTAGTGTGTGTGTAGGCATGTAAGTAATGTATGTATGTATCTATCTTTCTCTATGTATGTATGTATGTGTGTATGTGTGTATGTATGTATGTATGTATGTATGTATGTAGGTATGTATGTATGTACATCAGGAGGACGAAAGTTTATGCCTCTTGCTGGTTTCTGCGAAGCCGTATGGAGCGAATTCCAATTCGGTTTTGTGTGGCAGGAGTGGGACGATCAATTATCACCCTTTTGTAAATTTAAAATACTTTAAAGGTTTTGGAGAGTGAAAATTCGACCACGAGTGACCCAGCATCAGCTTGCAGGATTCTAGGGGGAAAGGGTTGTGTTCTCTGAGAAGGCCTGAGAGGCGCAACTTTTGTCCTGGCAGTGTATGTATGTATGTATGTATGGTATGTAGGTAACAAAAGTACTGTACTGTAATGTCATGTAATGTATGCATGTCTGTATTGTATGTATATGTATGTACTGTATGTATGTATGTATGTATGTAAGTATGTATGTATGTATGTATGTATGTATGTGTATATGTAAACACTCAACCGCTCTCCTTTTATGCACCAGCAAGCCGGAAGTTGTCAAATTAATAAAGAAACGCAAGTTCGAGTACTCGACCCAGAGTACCAAGGCCGCCCTGGCCGGCCCATCCTTGGGCCGGTTCTTTTTGAGGGGCCCCGAACATCACTCCCTTCACGCCAAACCGGAAGGAAGTGACGCCCGCCCCGCGCCCCCCAGGCAACTCCGCCAAACCGAAGTTAACCTGGGCCTCGAGCGCCAGAAAATCCAAAGGGAATCCACTCCCAAACACCCCCTTTTTCTCGTCTTTCCACGTCCCCCTGGCCTCCTCTTCTGAGGACGCTCAAGCGTTGGCTGAAATTTTGAAATCTTAAAAACTCCGAGGAACGGTACCGACAACTTCTATGAGACTTTCATCTCATTCACAAGGGCCAAACCCTCATTGAGATAAATGCGAGCTGTGCGTGCAGCTGCCCAACGACCTTGTTGGAGCAGCTTGTCGAAATTCCCATGGTTGGAAAACCAAAAAGTGGCGCCACCTCTGCGCAACGAGTAGGGCCGCAGCCCCAATTCGTGCGAACTCAACTTCAGAAGGCTTTCCTGGAAGCGCTGGCGCCACACATGCGCTTTGGTGACCAGAGGGGAATGGGGTTCACACAGGGCTTTCCATCGCCACAGAAATCGCAAAACGGGGATGACCCCGATTGAAACACTCTCGGCAGCCCCCTGCCGCTTCCCGCCCTTGGTCAATCCCAAGTTTACCACTGCGGGTGTGCGAGTTTCGAAGGCCGAGCAACTCTCCAGTTCTCAAAAGGCCATAAAAGCCAAGCATAACGAGAGAGCAAAAGAGTACCACTTGTTAAACAGGGCATAGCCAACCATGGCTTGTAACATCTTCTCTGTCAGTGGCGGAGCTCGGTTAGGAATTTCATTCGCATGCCAAGCTTTTAAAAGCCGCCAAGATCCATGAAGCGGACCTTTCAGCTTTGGATCGAAATCCTGCAACGATGCCATAGCGCCACACGCGAGCCCACGGCCCTCACCTGAGCTCCACAGGTACTCCAGAAAGTCACTGACCAATGCGTCCATGCGTGCCCTTTCCCTGGGCAACTCCAGCTGGTTGTCCGTTAAAAATTGCAGAAAACGACGTCTGGCCTTGTCGTAACGCAGCCTCTCCCTTCTACATGCTTTGCTTTTTTACCCATGACTTCAAAGTGCCCCTACGAGAGGGGCGATCAGCTGGGTTCTGGGAGGTGTGGACATAGCCCCAAAGAGCTTGATGCCCACTGGCAAGCAAGACAGCATTCATTCGGCATACGGTACGTCTCAATTTTCGACTTGACGAACGCCCTCGGCTCAGGGCATGAAGGACAATTAGGGAATCTGTGAGGTGTAAAAAACGATGTGCACGGAACGGAGCCTTTCTGACTCTCCATTGTAACGTAGTGAGCGCCGCCCGGAGCTCTAAGGCATTGATGTGCTCGCGACCCCCAGTCCATGGCCACCCTGCCACCTCCTACAATCGGGCAGGGACACTGGCGCGCAATCGGTGGTAGCGCGCAGGATCTTCCGTGGTTCCTTGGATCATGATGTCGTCTCCCTTGATTGACACCACCGAGGACAGGCGCGAAACCAATCGCTGTCCCTCTGAGTTGAGCGCACCAAAGGCGGCCGCATCAAAACATGCCGCAAAAGTTCTCCCTTTCCGGGAGTAAGCCGCTGGAGCATGTCCTGAACCCTGAGCTCGGATATCGGATATCACTTAAAGGTCGTAGAGCAAGCACATGACAACCGGCACTGACCAGGAATTTCCCAAAAGTGTATGCCTGAGGCACTCATAAGCAAAACCCTTTTGCTCATTCTTGGGCGCACAGTTCCGGGTGTATCCAGCAGGACATTCCAGAATGACTTCTCTCTCTGTCACGCTTGCCATTCGCAGCGCACCTTTCCGATTTGTCAGGCAATTCTCCTCACGATATTGATACGGGGGGAACCTGCGCTGGTCCTCCTTCCATCGCGAAAGTGTGGCCTCGTCGCACCGATTGAGTCCTGCTGCTGGTTTCCGTCCAGGTTGATCCGAGGGCCTAGCCGTAGTGAAAGTTGGCAGCGGCTTGTGCTTCACACTCTTCCATCCTGGTTCCAAGAACTCCTTCTCGTCGATGAAGCCTGTCAACTGGATCTCCCCGAAGCAGCATCCGAACCAGGAGTCACAGTGACTCCGTCTCACACCACCCAAGAAGGCCAATACAGCCTGGGCCGATGGGCCCAGCATCAATCTTCCATGGCCGATCTCCATAGGCCGCACTCATGACCGCACAGTCAACAGCATCCATAGACGCCACGTTCTCCACCAAGTGGTGTACTTGTGCCCAGGAGAAACACTGCCTGACCAACTCCTCAATACGGGGCACATGCACGAACAAACAACTCCGTTCATCTCGCTGCGCGTTCAGAGACCCCTTGGCAAGGCGGCCCAGCCCCTAGGAGAACCACTCCAGCTTCACTGTGCTGGAGGAACCCATGACCGTTTCCTCATTGACCTCCTCCACATCGAGCGCATGTATGACGGCAGGAAAATTGCTCTCAAGTACCCTGCGGGCACTCTTCTCCTTCTCAACGCTGATGTACCCGCACAGTGGGACTCCTAGCTGTTCACAAGCTACTCGAAGAGCGCCAATGCCGTCGAAGAGCCCTATTGCCAACACCCTGACAAGATCATGTTCTTCAGGAACTTCACTACGAATTCGCGCTCGTTCTGCCGCCAGTCCATACCCGCTGAGCTGACTGTAAAACCTCCCCCACTGGTGGAAGCGTCGCTGGCAGTAACGACCTCGCTGAAGGGTAGCCTGAAATCCATATAGGCCAACGGTAGGAGTGAAACAAATCGGGCAAGCTCCCATTTAACCTCTGCAGGGAGCGGGTGCCTCATCCGCCTAGACAACTTGCCCATCGCCACAATGTGTTCCCACTCTTTGTTGAGCGCACCCAACAAAGGTCTCCTGAACATGGCAGCATAGACAAGGCCTCCGCAGACCACCTGAAGTTCGCGCTGGGTTGCTCGGCCCCGTCGAAGGACTTCCAGACCCAGCATAGCATAGATGACACATTTCTGCAACTTGGGGCGCGCTGTCCCCCTCACACCGTCGATCTATGCACCCTGGACCTCGCCCCTCAACTGACTCGATACCGCCTTTTTCGGGTGGCGTGGCAGCCCGCCTTCCAGGTACTCACTCCCTGGACCAGCAGAGCTGTCCTTTCATCACGGCGTGTCAGCTCATCAAAGTTGTCTAGGTATATGCGAAACAACTGCTTGGAGCTAGTAGGACCCTTATCCTTCCTCAGTTCTTGTTCTCCCATCACGGGAGGAATGTTTCGCACAGCTGCCTGTCGCACTACGTTCCGGTGTATATGTTGTGCAATAGCCACTGAATTTATAAATCCCATAGGCAACACGCGAGAAACCAAATGAACCACCTTTCCCTTTAAGTGCTGCGGGAGCGCCTTGTCCGGGACCATCTTTGCGAAGCCCAAGAACTTCTTCCATTCCTC